CAGAGTTTGATCCATGTTCCGATAACATTTGGAGAGTCTAGAAAAGCCGCATGGCTTTTATTTATTTTTTATTATTATTTATTTATTTTACCCCCATTCAAGTTAGCAGTGGGCTAAACAGGAAGTTCGAAGTCTACACAGTGGACGCTATAACGCTACCACCAGCTAGAGTTTTGGCGGCGTAATTGCAGAACAACGCAGACACCAACACAAGTATAAAAGCGTGGCCTCTTACGGCACAGAAGTATAAATCAGATCTCGAACATTCAAAATCTTTACTGAACGTTGTTTCACCAAATGAGCGTGCTCCTGATGAGACTGCGGATGGCGTCCTGGGGGTCTGCTCACTGACCTGGATCAGGGCATCCGTGAGCTCCTGGAGAGTCTGTGGCGCAACCTGGCGGCGTTGGACGCACCGATACAGAACGTCCCAAAGGTTGTCAGTTAGATTCCGGTCAGGGGGACGTGAGGGCCGGACAGCGGCGTCAAGCAGTCGATCGCAACTATTAACATAAATTCAACAAACTGCAGTGAACTCGGCGCGACTTGCAGTTTTGACCAATCACCGCAACCTTTCCGCTAATCTGACCTCTCATCTCAGTTTCCTGCTAAACGCTGTCCCACGTCAGCGAACTGACTTCATTGTTCAGAAGACGCAGCAGACGTGTGTGAGACACTGAGACACAGGCTGCTGCATCCGCTCAGCTGCAGGACCATTTAAACCAGCTGCAGCTGGGTCAGGGTCAGAATCAGGATCAGGTTGGAGAAGGGTCGGGTCGGAACTCATTTTTTCTATTTGAATAATGATTTTGTTGAGGAAAGGGGCTGAAAAAAGATTTACTTTATCATATTTGGTGAAAAAGATTTGATCATAATAGTTTTTAATGTTGGATGTTCAGTAATCCACAGTTTGGCATCTAGTGTTCTGACCATAAAGGAAAGTTTAAAAACATAATTAACCGTCTGGTTTCTTCAACTTTCACACAAAAATCTGCCTTTAAACTTGAAAGAACTAATGATTTGACATTTATCGTGATAACTCTCGGTATCGAATGATATGAAAGGTTTTTATCGTGATAACTATCGGTATCGAATGATATGAAAGGTTTTTATCATGATAACCGTTTTGGCCGTATCGCCCAGCCCTACTTTCACTCTGGGCCCATGAAACCAGGCAGAGTCCTGCACCAGGAGGAACCCAGGGCCCACTGAGGAGTTCATGCTGGTCCCTAACAGCAGTCAGGGTACCGATTGTTAGCACCAGGTCTGTGGGACCCTCCAGGGATAGAGGATTACACCATCACTGACCCACCACCTAACCGGTCCTGCTGGATGACGTTGCAGAAGCGTAACGTTCAGCGCGGCGTCCCCAGACTCTTTCACGTCTGTCACACTTGACTTTACTTCTGACGCTGCTTTCAGTTCTTTCCTCCAGTTTAACTACTTTCAGCCTCTGTACATCAGCTAACAATCTGCTTTCACAGTTTATTCATCACATCGTGAGACTCTTGGTGCTGCTGACATTTCCACTGATTCAGCTTCTCAAACTGAACTTTAACTAAAATACTTGACACCTGTCATTTCCAGCGTGAGCGAGCTTCAGCTTCCTCTTTCATTTTGTCCTGTTTCTTATGTTCTGTGAATCTGAAACGGCTCGTCAGTCTGCACAGACACAAACCGAAGAAGAAGCAGCAGCAGCAGCAGCAGCGTCAGACTCACTCTTCAGCACTTTGACCGCCACCTTCTGGACAGACGAGTCTTGCGTCTTCAGGAAGGCCTCGCGCACGGAGCCGAACTCACCTGCACAGGTACACAAACACATGGGATTCTCTTTTTAAACCTGACCTCTGTCTGCGGACTCACCTCTACTTTCACTTTTAGAACTAGAAAGGAAAATCAGAGGAATACCTGCATGAAGACCGCCGATCGTTTTAAAGCTGCTTGGCTTCTTAAATGTTTGTCATCTAAAGTTTTGTGTGTTAAAAGGTGCTGGGGACTCCTGCTGAACCAGAGCATTGCACACTTACATTCTGCGTTCTGCTGAATTCCTCTGCACCAATTTATGGTGGAAATGTTTTTATTCATGTGAAAGGGAAACAAATTCAGAATCTAAATGATTTTAAGTCACTTTTTTGAACAACACACATCAGTTCCTTCTGTTTCTATATAAACTACTTTGCATGTTTTCTTCTCATTTTCATTTCTTAGTTAACATTTCTTGTTGTGAACTATATTTCAGAACAATCTTTACCAATCTTTCAAAAAGTGTTTGGGACATGTCCTCCGAGTCCCTGGTGTGAAGGACCGCCTCTCTTATATCACGGTAAACAAACTGCGCTCAGTAGAAGAGAAGACGGTCCAGCAGCAGCACAAACTGTCTCTGAAACTGTTTCAACACAAACTGAAGGAGGCAAAGAGAAGGACAGGAGCGCCACCTGCATCTTATCTAGGGATGGGGATCGTTCATTTTTACTGATGGCCTTATTGAGACTGCTTAACGATCCGATTCTTTATCGATACTGTATTATTTGGTGAGACCAGCCCCAGCAGCCTGAGGCCGGCTGCAGGGCGTGAGGAAAATATTCAATGTGCCATAACGTTATAAACTGAGATGACATCACTTGTGATAAATAAACATATACTGAAGTGTGCATATTAACTGCCTGGTTGTTTTTAATTTAATATTTTAAATCCAGCTAAATGTTGTTTCTGGACAACAGCAAAGTAACTCAGTAACTTTGTGACATCACAAGCAGCGAGTGACGTTTAGAAAGATCATCGGTGTGTATCGGCCCCTCCTCCTCTCTCCTGGCTGCAGGTAACGTTACAGGTAGAGGAGGAGCGGCTGCTTTGTGCATTTTATATTAAATAATTTGGAGACTCAATTCCTCTTTTCTCTCCCAGAGAGAAGGAGGAGGGGGTTTGATTATCAACCCCTACAGACAGCCGAAGCGACCCCCAAAGGAAGGGGGGTTGAAAGGTCGCTTTCTCTAAGTGCTATTCCTGGGCAGTTGGTCATAAAACAGGCCACCTTTGGCAACAGCCGAGATAAGCCTCTCGGTGCCTGAACTGTTCAAATGACAAAAGAAACTAACCAGAGATTACAAACAGCCTATCGAAACTCTCCTTAAGAGGGGGCAGGAAACCCTAAACTGCCCCCCCACACACGTAACCATGGCAACTGACCTTGCTCTGTGTTTAATTACCTCTCATCAAAGGGATACTCCTTTTCACGCCCAGGTGAGAAAATCCAGGACACCAGGGACAGCCCTGAACTTCTTTGTGTAAACAGACTGCTGTCTCCAAAGACTCAAAGCATTACCTCGTTTAATTAAATAATCTTTTAGTTACTTGATTACGTTTGCCTCTGTTTGATTAGTTATGTTACCATGTTGTTGCTATCTGTTGTTGATATTATTGCTGAAAAGAATCTAATTAAGTTACTTTTGCAGTGTTTTAATTTTCAGCAAGGTTAATGACATTCCTTCATTTTATGTGTAACCAATGTTTGTTCACAATACTTTCTCACACACCTCCTTTAGAAATGAGGATAAAGAAATGTCATACTATACTCTATTAATTGCCAGCTTGAATTTAAGGTTAAATAACTGAATTTCCCAGTTCCTGAGCAAAGATTGTCTTAGGGTTAATCCAAGCTATCGTCATGTAACCTGAGCTCCCCCAAGTGGACGAAATAAGTATTACATACCATCGTATGAAATGCCGGTAATGTATAAATGTCACTCATGACCAATTATTTGACAATTGTTTCCCTTATCAGGTGCTTAAAACTAAGAACGGTACAACCATTTGACCATTGAGGTTTGATTGTGGGAAAATATTTGATTATAATACGCGCAAACAGATTTTCTTTTCCTTTTTTTAAGACATATTAAAAGTTTAGAAAGACAGTCCCTCAGGAAACCGGAAACGGCCAATAAGGACTGCCCTCTGGGGAACCACGCCCCAACCAACAAAAGCGCGACACACGAGGTTGTTCGCTCTCTTGTCTCTTGTTCTTTGTGCTCGGTTTTGTTCCTGACGCTTCAACAGCGCTTCGGCACGCGCCCGGCGTGCCCCCTCTCCCGGCAACACCCTAAGAGTTCGGCCCGGCGCAACAAAAGCTTTGTTTCGTTTGAAGCTACACACGCGAAGTGCCGCGACATCAGCTTTTCCCTCTTTAACAGCAACTTTACTTGCGTTTTATTTTCTTTGGTTTGTTTTGTTAAAAGTTATCAGTCCGTTAAGTTACACTAGTGTAATTCAAGAACAACCAAGTTCTCTTTAAGCTTTATTCGTCGAGCTAACGTCACCGAGGTCAGACCCAGTCACGTGGTCTCGCCAGCGGCAACAAAGGACACCTGAAGAACAGCCGAATTGCGAGACGGAGGACGGCCAACCCTTGAGGGTTTTTCTTCCTTCCAGACACGGAGAACCCCAGAGAATTCCCTAGCAAAAAGCCAGGAATCGGGCAGCTAGCGTGGGAGCCGTGCAACAGGCCAAGGCAGGCCGCCAACCTACCGTAAGGCAAAACAAAGCATCCTGTGGTCAGTGATGTCCAGTAGTTGTTAATCCATTATATTCAGTCCTTAAACCCCTAGACAAGTTAAACCGAGTTATCTTCTAATTGCATTCATTAGCTGCCGTATGAGTCAAATTCTCCCACAATAGGAACCCCTTCTTATTGTTTAGCCGGTGTTTATTTCTTTAGTGTATTTAACTGCATTTTATATCACCTTAGTTAGCTAATAAATTCACTGTAATCAAGGAATTGTGTGTGTTGCCTATTTCTAAGTCCCTGCCAAGAGAATTTACCCTTCAGATGAGATTGACTGACTGACTTAAGATAATTGAGCCATTATTAACTAATTGATCACTAGTGAATAATTGTATAATTATTAAAATGCTACCCAGAGGTCCGGAGACTTTGGGTTAATAACAACTCTGGTGGTGCCCCGAAACGAGAGATTTATGGATTCATATTTTCTGAATATTAAAATTCATAATTGGGTATTAATTCTCATAAATTTATTAAAAATCATACGTGGCTTTAGACCTGCTTCATGTGCGTGAAAGAGAGCTGCAGCCCGACTATGAACAGTTTAATACCACGTCTCGGTGTCATCAATAAATTAACATTAGTTTTCTTATCCATTGCATTTCAAGATAAATGACGCTCGAGACATAACGTTACATTTTAGGACCCGCAGTATCGATAAGCTCGAACCTTATTGGTTTTCGGGTTTTGAGAAATTTTGGAACCGGGTCCTTTTAGAACCGGATCTCGATCCCCATCCCTAATCTTATCCTTTCATTTATTAGCCGATCAGCAGACTCCTAACTGATGATATTTATTTTAGCCCTCTGTGAGTCAAACAGTAAAGCTTTAAATTAAAGTGACAGTCGCAGCATTTACTGTTGCGCACAAACTCGCAGCTGATCCCGTTCCCTTAAACCAACAATCAGGATGTTTGTTCAGCCCTCAAACCCCAAAAACTGTTGAAGCCCAGCTGAAACGTCCGTCAGGACACAAAGGTTTGTTTCTCCTGCACATTTCTCTTTTCATTCTGTGTGAAAGCGCTCACTGCTGACTGTGTGTTTCACAGTTTGACAGTGTGTGACAGTGTGTGATAGTGTGTTACAGTGTGTTACAGTGTGTTACAGTGTGTGCCAGTGTGTTACAGTGTGTGCCACAGTGTGTGCCAGTGTGTTACAGTGTGTGCCAGTGTGTGTCACTGTGTCACAGTGTGCCAGTGTGTGATAGTGTGTGCCAGTGCGTGACAGTGTATTACAGTGTGTGCCAGTGTGTGTCACTGTGTCACAGTGTGCCAGTGTGTGATAGTGTGTTACAGTGTGTGCCACAGTGTGTGCCAGTGTGTGTCACTGTGTCACAGTGTGCCAGTGTGTGATAGTGTGTTACAGTGTGTGCCACAGTGTGTGCCAGTGTGTTACAGTGTGTCACAGTGTGACAGTGTGTGATAGTGTGTGCCAGTGCGTGACAGTGTATTACAGTGTGTGACAGTGTGTTACAGTGTGACAGTGTGTGACAGTGTGTGATAGTGTGTTACAGTGTTACAGTGTGTGCCAGTGTGTGTCACAGTGTTACAGTGTGTGATAGTGTGTTACAGTGTGTGTCACAGTGTTACAGTGTGTGATAGTGTGTTACAGTGTGTGTCACAGTGTGACAGTGTGTGACAGTGTGTGCCAGTGTGTGTCACAGTGTTACAGTGTTACAGCGTGTGATAGTGTGTTACAGTGTGTGATAGTGTGTTACAGTGTGTGATAGTGTGTTACAGTGTGTGCCAGTGTGATAGTGTGTTACAGTGTGTGCCAGTGTGTATCACAGTGTTACAGTGTGTGATAGTGTGTTACAGTGTGTGCCAGTGTGTGCCAGTGTGTGTCACAGTGTGACAGTGTGTGATAGTGTGTGTCAGTGTGACAGTGTGACAGTGTCTGTCACAGTGTGACAGTGTGTGATAGTGTGTTAAAGTGTGTGCCAGTGTGTGTCACAGTGTGCCAGTGTGTGCCTGTGTGTCACAGAGTGTGTCACAGTGTGATAGTGTGTGCCAGTGTGTGATAGTGTGTGCCAGTGTGTGATAGTGTGTTACAGTGTGTGTCACAGTGTGTGCCAGTGTGTGTCACAGTGTGTGCCAGTGTGTGCCAGTGTGTGTCACAGTGTTACAGTGTGTGCCAGTGTGTGTCACAGTGTTACAGTGTGTGTCACAGTGTTACAGTGTGTGCCAGTGTGTTACAGTGTGTGCCAGTGTGTGTCACAGTGTGTCACAGTGTGTGTCACAGTGTGACAGTGTGTGATAGTGTGTTACAGTGTGTGCCAGTGTGTGTCACAGTGTGTCACAGTGTGTGTCACAGTGTGACAGTGTGTGACAGTGTGTGATAGTGTGTGACAGTGTGTGATAGTGTGTTACAGTGTGTCACAGTGTGTCACAGTGTGTGATAGTGTGTCACAGTGTGTGATAGTGTGTTACAGTGTGTGCCAGTGTGTGCCTGTGTGTGTCACAGAGTGTGTCACAGTGTGATAGTGTGTGCCAGTGTGTGATAGTGTGTGCCAGTGTGTGATAGTGTGTCACAGTGTGTCACAGTGTGTGATAGTGTGTGCCAGTGTGTGACAGTGTGTCACAGTGTGTCACAGTGTGTCACAGTGTGTGATAGTGTGTTACAGTGTGTGTCACAGTGTGTGCCAGTGTGTGTCACAGTGTGTGCCAGTGTGTGCCAGTGTGTGTCACAGTGTGTGCCAGTGTGTGCCAGTGTGTGTCACAGTGTTACAGTGTGTGCCAGTGTGTGTCACAGTGTTACAGTGTGTGTCACAGTGTTACAGTGTGTGCCACAGTGTTACAGTGTGTGCCAGTGTGTTACAGTGTGTGCCAGTGTGTCACAGTGTGTCACAGTGTGTGTCACAGTGTGACAGTGTGTGATAGTGTGTTACAGTGTGTGCCAGTGTGTGTCACAGTCTGTCACAGTGTGTGTCACAGTGTGACAGTGTGTGCCAGTGTGCCAGTGTGTGTCACAGTGTTACAGTGTGTGCCAGTGTGTGTCACAGTGTTACAGTGTGTGTCACAGTGTTACAGTGTGTGCCAGTGTGTTACAGTGTGTGCCAGTGTGTGTCACAGTGTGTCACAGTGTGTGTCACAGTGTGACAGT